CAAGCCGCCTGGAGCTGTTATAACTCAGCCAGTTCCCCGCGCGCTCGTCACCAGGCCCTGCGTCCACACTGCTCCTCCGCTTACTCTCCTGAACAGTTCAGGCACCCCCCGCCAGCTTTCCACAGAACCAGCATGGGCCCAGATGGGGGTTTCCCGATGGGCTGCCATGGGCCTGGCCCCTTCCTTGGCAACGTCCAGCTCCTTCGAGACAGTCACAGGGGCCGTGCTGAGCCCAAGCTGAGGAGATGACATACTGTCTGGGTGAATCCAGCTTGAACAAGTGCAGTCAGGCCTGTGTTGTGCTTTATTATTATTTAATTTTTTTATTGAAGTATAGTTGATTTACAGTGCTGTGTTAGTTTCAGGTGCACAGCAAAGTGATACAGCTATACATAAACTTTTTTCAGATTGTTTTCCATTATAGGTTATTATAAGATATTGCATATAGTTTCCTGTATTACACAGTAGGACGTTGTTGTTTATCTGTTTTATATATAGTAGTTAGTATCTGCTAATCCCAAACTCCTAATTCATCCCTCCCCACTCTTTCCCTTTTGGTAACCATAAGTTTGTTTTCTGTGTCTGTGAGTCTAGTTCTGTTTTGTAAATAAGTCCATTTGAATCATTTTTTAGAGTCCACATATAAGTGATATCATAACAATATTTGTCTTTCTCTGTCTGACTGACCTCACTTAGTATGATAATCTCCGGGTCCATCCATGTTGCAACAAATGGCATTGTTTCATTCTTTTTCATGGCTGAGTAAATATTCCGTTGTATATACATACCACAGCTGCTTTATCCAGCCATCTGTCAGTGGACATTTAGGTTGCTTCCATGCCTTGGCTATTGTAAATAGTGCTGCTATGAGCATTGGGGTGCATGTCTCTTTTCAAATAGTTTTCTCCAGATACATGCCCAGGAGTGGGATAGCTGGATCACATGATAACTCTATTACCTCCCTACTGTTCTCCATAGTGGCCCCACCAGTTGCTTTATTATTATTGCCATTGAGCTTAGCAGGTCTCAAAAAACCAACAGATTATTCTCTTCAGTTATACTTTACTTCTCTTCATTATAATCTCCTTTGCGCCTAAGAAAGCACAATTAACAGGGCTTTATTTTTGTCAGCCTCTGAATCTGTCAATATCATACCTTGAGCAGTCAAGTCTGATTCAGATGAGGGCTGAGCATGTACTCCATGCAGGCCCTGGACCAGCACCAGGGCAGTAAAACAGACCGGACCCCCACCACCCACCCCATCCCCCCGTGGCCTATGTGCTTCACTGAGGAACGTGGGTGCACACGTGTGACACTGTGTCAGTGGGGTGGCAAGCTCAGTGGGCCATGCGAAGGTGCCCGGGTCAGGGAGGGAGGGGAGGGGGTTCATGCCTGTCAGGTCCCTGTGGTGCTCTGTGGGGAGGGGCCTTGGGGGCACGGAGAGGAGCAGCACACTGCTTAGGTGGCAGGGGAGGGGGCACTGGCCCCGGGGACGGGGTAGAGGGAAGATGGATTTGTTGTTGGGAATGTTTTCTGCTGAATTTTTAGAGTGGCTGGGGCCCACCCTGAGACCAGCGGTCCTCTCAGGAGCAGGTCCCCGAGGAATGACCTACAGGGGGACAGTGGAGTTGGCCCGTCCGCTCTGATGCGGGTGCTGCCAGTGGCCAAGGCTTTCCATGCAGGGTGGGGGCATATGGGAAACTCTGCCTTCTGTAAACCTAAACCGCTCTACAGTCTTCCTGGCACAAAGATGGCCTCTCCAATGTCACGTTTGTTGTGAAAAGAAACGCAGAGTCCCCTTGGGTTCAGGGAGAGGGGAGTGGCCGGCAGATGCTGGCCCTTCTCCAGGGAGGCGGGTGGGTGCGCTGCATTTGTGTACCTCTGTATGTAGTTTCTCTGGAAAAGGTGACTCCAGGCTGGGGACACTTTCTTGGATCCTCGCACATCCAGCAGCCGGCTTGCTTTTGGGGTCGTTTTGGCAAGCAGCAGGGCTTTTATCTGGAGGACGCCAGGAGAGACCCAGAGGTGCACTGAGGCGAGACGCTGAGTCACAGGCAGTTTACCTTCTAGCCAGTTGCCTTTTGGTCTGTACCCCATCCTCAGAGAGGTCCAGGGCCAAATGTGTGCCTCAGGAGGAGAGAGGACACAAAGCCAGGAGCCTGTGGGGGCCCTTGACTTAAAGCCACAGGTGTTAAGGAGTCGCCATACTTGACGGCAGCAAGACACCTGGACACATGTCTGCAGGAACGTTAAGCGGGGGTGTGGGGTTACTGGTGAGGGTGCTAAGTGCTAGCTGTCCCCAGTCCTTATGCCGTAAGATCCACATCCAGAGTCCAGAAGTGAATTTGAAGCAATCTGTAAATACAGTAACATTCCTCATATCTTTTTTGTCACTCAAGTTGTTTGTATTCGTGACAATCAAGGTCAGAGGTGAGCAGACCTTTTCGGGGATGGCCAGAGAGTAAATATTTTAGGCTGTGTGGTCGTACACTGGTCTCTGTCACAGCCCCACAGCTGACCCCCCATGGGGCGACGCAGCCAGCACGTGTGAAGGAGTCGGCCAGGCTGTGCTGCAGGGGAACTTTACCCACGAAAACACACAGCCCACAGGCCGCCCCGACCTAGGATGAGGTGGCCGCTTGCCTCAGCACAGTACGTTGACGGGAAGGCAGAACACAGAAATGCATTAAAGGCCACTTTCCCGTAGTAACTGTACACGTCATACTGGGTTGTTCAGGTCTGTCCTTTGCGGGTTCTGCGGGATGTGAACAGCACCCAGAATGGGGCTCGCACGTGGACGGTGTGAAACGAATACAGAACAAGGGGCCCAGTCCCTGAAGCATCAGGGTGGTGACGCGAGGGCACAGCAGCCATCCCTCCACCACACAGACCTTCTCTTTCTTTTGCTCTGACTCTGAAACAACCCATCTTCTTGAACCTTGGCAGGAGGTGTCGCTCCAGGACGTCCGCAAAGAGATCAGCTTCTGCCGCAAGGTGAAGCTGCCGGTCCTCGGGGTGGTGGAGAACATGACCAGCTTCGTCTGCCCCAAGTGCCAGGTGCGAGCGCGGGCGGCTCAGCTGGGTCCCCGCCTCCGGGGTCGAGGGGGTGCTGCGCATGCACCTCTGCTTCCCCATCACCTCGGGAAGTGGAGCCACACTTAGAGCCCGCTGCTGCTGATTTAATGAAAATTCTTTTCATATTGAAACCACCGTTTTTTAAAAATGTATTGTCTTTGGTGGGGAAGTGGTAATTAGGTTTATTTTACTGGAGGTGCTGGGGATTGAACCCAGGACCTCTGCATGCTAAGCACACGCTCTGCCACTGAGCTGTTCCCTCTCCCCCGAAAATACCATTTTTTTTTAAGTTTCTTTAAAATGTGATCCATTCATATGATTCTGAAACAAAATCATGATTCCTCCCCCTTTTACTTTGCCTCCCAGAAAGAGTCTCAGATCTTCCCACCAACGACAGGGGGCGCGGAGGTCATGTGCCAGGATCTACAGGTCCCGCTCCTCGGCAGAGTGCCCCTTGACCCGCGCATAGGTGGGTGAGTCCCCACGCCCCATCTCAGCCGCACAGTGCCACTCAGGACAGCGGGGCACTGGAGCCAGAGCCTGCCCTCTAGCCGAGAGGAGCCGAACAGGCAGGTGTGTAGCCAGGGAAGCACGAAGACCTTGGAGAGAAGGGAAGGGCCTGGAAGAGTGGAGGAGAGACTGGTCAGGGAGATGCTGGGGTGCAGGGAAGGCAAAGAACTCAGCAAAGAGAGGGGCCAGGAAGGGGCTGAGCTGGGGGAGGATGCAAAGGGTGTGCAGTTGAGTCCTCTTTACACAGGGCTTAGGTTCTGACGTGAAAATCATGGACAGAATTAGCCTTGAAACCCCTGAGGAAGGTGGCCCTGTGTCCTGTCCACTGGGAAGCCCAACATAGCCCTCTCTGTGCCCTGCTTCTCTCGGGTAGCATGAGATGAAGTCACTGGCCTGCCTTCAGGGGCCACCCTCCCCTCTAAGTACCAGAGTCCCCTGGGTCCCTCAAACTGCTGGTGGGGCCTGGAGGAGGGGTGGCCGACCCCATCTCCACCCCACACTCTCCAGGGCATCAGCTTGCTGAGTGGATGGTGGGGAGGGCCACCCACATCCTTTCGATTACAGCCCGCCTCCAGTCTTAGTTTCCCCTGGGGAACAGGGCTGGACTTGGCTGCAGTCAAATGTGCCTGGGCCGCGACCCCACCCGCCAAGTGGGGCGGTTCTGTTTAGCAGAGGTGCCCGGGCTGGAGGGAAGATGAGAGAGAGAGAGAGGTCCGGGCTCTGACATCAGTTGAGAGGAAATGAGACTGTGGAGCGTGGGCACCATGTGTGCTTAGGGGCTGAGGCCTGTGGGCCGGCTGCCCTGGCAGGGGGAGGAAGGGAGGACTGGACCAAGGCCTGGGCATTGGCTCGGAGAAGAAGGGACACACGAAGTGGGAAAGTGACAGGATTTGACGGGGAGAAAGTGGTGTCACACACGTGTGTGCTGCACCCTATGAGCCACTGGGACCTAGGGACACCCTCCAGAGGTGGTGAGCCCAGAAGGCACTGTCGAGGGAAGGGCCAGCTCCCTCTTGGGTGCTGGGGGTCAGGCGGGGAGGCCTGGGTTTGACAGCAGGCTTGGGAGAGCAGAGCCGGCAGGAGTGGAAGGGCCGTGCCCCTCCACATGCGACTGGGGCAGCCGGTGTAGCGAGGAGGGGGCCTGCCTTGAGGAAGAGGGTGGGAATAGCCCAGAGAGTCTCGTGAGATCCCACTTTGCTTGTTCCCACGTCCAAAGGCACTTCTGCTGCATGGTTTCCCCCACAAAACTAGAGCTACTTTTCCAGCCCTCCCTAGTGTTGGCATTGTCTTCACGCTGACTAGAGTGGCACTGAGTTTCCCTCAAGGTTGTAAGAGCAGGTACCTCCCACTCAGAGGCAGGCAGGCCCCATGGAGCCCGCCTGGGAATAGTCATCACCGTTAGCTTCAGCTTGTGCCGCCACCGTAGGCCTCAGAGCGCTTTACAGAGGTAACAGCAAAGCGGAGGCAGCTGCTCCCAGGCTCAGTTCTGAGCTCAGAAGATTATGTGCCGTCTCTTGGGCACAGTCCTCTGTGACAACGTACGTGTCCCCAAACCTCATCTCTGGTGGAAACCGCAGAGAGCCAGGCTAGTGAGCATAAAAGGACAGGTGGTTAACACTGTCATGTGATGTGGAAAGGTGGCCAAGAGCTGAGTAAGGTCACCATGACTTTCCGGAGCCACTTCTGTCCAGTGAGGTGATAGCCACGTTACTGGGAGCAGACGGTGGGTGGGAGGCATGAAGGCATGTGCTCAGCCCCTTGTGGGAACTCGTGGCAGAAGGAGATGCCTCTGGTGCTGTGATCTTCAGCCCGTCCCGCCCCCTAGGCACCTGAGAGTCACATGGAAGCTTCAGACCCTCGCTGCTCCACTGCCAGCTGGGGCCTCAGGCAGGTCTGTGCACAGCTCTAGCCTGGAGGGCCTCACCTGTAAGATGGGGTGATAGTGGAGCCAACTATCAGGGAGCTGCACGGATGGAATGGGGTATGTGCAGGGTCTTGGGGCAGGGCCCAAAGGGCGCTACCTAGGAGAGGGAGGAAAGAGGAGGTTTTGTGAAGATGGCGAATCAACCAGAGCACGAAAGGGCACATTTGAGAGGGGAGGGGAGGGGTGAGCCCTCTGGGAAAGGGCGGACAAGAAGCCCGTGGACACTGGTGGAAGAGCAGAGGCCAGTGGCCCCACGAGCCTGCTGTGGGACCTGTGACTTCCCAGACCGAGTCCCGCGACTGTGAACAGAATTTCCCCAGCTGCTTCCACCACGTTCCCACAGCGCCTGTGTTGCAGAAAAGTGTTACAGCTTGGTGTTACAGCTCAGCTGTGACAGCAACCTGGATCCGGGCGAGAAACCAAGCAGCACTCAGAGAGTTGGAGAACTCAGGTTTATTATGCCAGCGGGCCCACAGGAGTTAACACTCCAAGCTCTGGACCCTGTCTGTAGGTTTCAACAGGCTTTTATAGGCTACCAGTCTAGACTTTGCAACATTTTGTAACCTCATATGCAAATAAGGTATAACAAAGGTGACTAATTAGGAAGAAGCTTTGTAGAACGGACCAATCAGGAGTGAGCTCCATGCAAATGAAGCACTACAAATGGACCAATCAGAAGTTAGCTCAGGGAACCAATAGACTCTTAGGGGTAAGTTCCTCTTTCCTAGAAGTAAGCTGTTTCAGAATTTAAAAAGCGAAATAATGCTGGGCCAGGGAACCAAATGTGCTGGCAGGAGGGTAGTGGCCCTGCCTGGGGGGGTCCTGCCATCTTTTTCATGGGGCTTCCCACCTCACCTGGGCCATGGGGACCCCTCCTCTGCCGTCCCCCTCTCAGGTGTCCCTGTCCCACCGGGCGACATGCTGGGGAGCTGAGGAAACCAGGGCTCACAGTTGGCCTGGCCAGGGTCCACCTGGAGCCTGGGGAGTAGCCATGGGTCGTGGAACCACTGACCCTGCTTCTCCGGCCAAGCTCAGCATCCAGGGAACAGGATCAGAAGGAGGAGGGGAGCACACCGCCTGCCTGAGGCCCCTGTCTCATGCTCCCCTGGACGCTGCGATGACATGCAGTCCTAGAGACAGCCTGCATGTCCAGAGGCACTGGAGTGGACAGGCTTGAGACAGACTAGCCAAGATCGATGCCACTGTGGAACGACCTTCCAGATAGTTACACACGGAGGTGGCAATGGCTGAACGTGTGCACCGTACACACCCATTCGTTGCTTTAAGTGCGTGAGTGTGTAATGTGTATACGTGCCATGTTTACATGCATATACTATTTCTAGAAAGACACCTGAAACACTGGTAGCCTCTTTTGAACTCACTTTTCTTTTGAACTCACTTTTCACGTGTGACCTTTTACATCCCATGCTCTATTCCCGTGTGCAGTCATTATCTTTTACCCAAGGAATAGGTTGATCTTTGACCTGCAGGTTCCTGGGCCCACCCGGGAGCTACCCAGTCCATCCTTCAGGGGGCCTGGAGCTTGCATGTGCTGCATATTCCAGGTGACTTACAGGGACACCACAGGAGGGCAGCGGCCAGAGCCGCGAGGAGATGCGAGCCAGGTGGAGGGAGGCCAGCCAGGTCCTGGAGACGCCAAGCGAGGTGGGCTCACATCGCCATAGCGCCCCAGGCACAGAAAGAGCCCCGGGTTCATGTCCCCGTGGTGGCTCCTTCATGGAGTTAACTTCCTTTCACTTCTTTAAGGTAAAAGTTGCGACAAAGGACAGTCTTTTTTCGTTGAAGCACCGGATTCACCAGCTACTGTAGCCTACAGAAGTATAATTCAGAGTAAGTGTTCAAGTCAGTCTGTGAATCCAGATGGCCACCGGGCCAGGGCGTGACATGAATGAGCAGTGGGCTGGGTATGAGGCGATCCCACTCAGGATCGTAAATGGCACTGCCGTGCAGCCTCGGCTGGGGACAGTGGGGGGAGTGGGGTCTGGGACGACCCCCTCAGCCCTGGAAGCCAGGAGCCTGTGAGAAATCTTCCAGTACGTCAGCATCGTGAACTGTAGCACAGTTCAGAAAGCACGGTGCAAGTGAAGACTGCGGTATAGGAAGGAGACCTCAGTAGAGCTGTAAAACAAAATTAAGGGACAAGCACAGTGAGCCAAACCAAACCTGTGCGCAGGCCTGACTCGGCCAGCAGGGTCCTGGTAGAGGCCTCGAATTGAAGGCAGAGGTGCTGGTCGGTAAAACGTTAGGCTCCTGGTTTACGGCTGAGCTCACCTGGCCCGGTGAGACGGTGCGGAGGGGAAATGACACCATCTCTGGGAGTCCCGATCTGCAGGACGTGCTGGCGTGAGGCCTCCCGCGTGTGGTGATGACCACGGTGGGCAGCCGGCAGTACCCCGCTCGCTTTCGAAGGTTCAGGGCATCAGCTGAAACAGGGCTTCTTGGGGGATTAAGCCCTCTGGGGGCCCTGCCCCACCCAGATGCCGCCTCGCCAGCCCAGGGCAGGGCCTCCTGAGAGGCTGACGAGCCGTCCATGCTTCTGTGCCTGCGTCCTGTCTTCCAGGAATCCAGGACTTTTGTAGCCTGCGTCAGCCGAAGGGAGAGGACCACGTCAGTTCCTGAAACACAGGAGGACGCGGAGGACACAAGCAGCACGTCTGTCCCACCTGAGCAGCTCGGGCACGAGGTGGGGTCACAGGCAGACAGGGACCAGACCCGAGCCTGGTGTGAAGTCACTTTTTCAGAGACGCTTTAATCATCTAATGTTTGTTCACTTTTCTTTAGAACATGTATGTAAAGGGCGTTCTTTACAGATGTGCCATTTTAAAAATAAAAACACCTCATCAAACCTCTGCCCCGAAACCTACCTCACGTGGAAAACCAGTGGCCTGCGGGTCATGTAAGAAGCTCACCTGATTACAGAACCTCTCACTGAAGCCTTCACTGCCTCGGAAAATCAGCCTTAAAAAGAACCAAAAGGATGAATGCGTGGCTTCGCTGCAGATACATACAGTCAGGGTAGTGCAAACCGTGTCCTCAGATGGAGGAGAAATAAAGGCGGCGCTGGAGCCTCACGCTGGGGCTTGTTCTGAGCTCAGTGCACACGATGCGGTGGGGCTGTGCTCGGAAATTTCCCCTGTGAGCAGACCTGGGGGGATGCGTTGACACCCTCTATCTGAATGTGTGTCCACTGTATCCAGTCATTTCCAGTGTCGGACGAGACAGTTACAGGGTTCTTTAAATGGAAGGAGGGAGACGCAGACTCTGGGACGATTCTCGTTGCCATGAGACGCTCACTCGGTGTTTGAGACACAGGAACCGAGACCAGCTGAGGGAAGAATAAATTCCTGTTTCCCACCTTGTCCTGGGCACGGAAGTGGAAGGGCAGGCAAATCCCCTTGTCCTTTCCCTCCCAGCCTCTTAGCGGCCCCCCACACCTCCCCCAAGCCTGCACAGGGTGGAACCTGCACGTGTTCAAGGCAAGGAAGTTGGGATCCCTCTGAAGAACCTCCGGGCTGCACAGCCCGGGAAGGCGCGGTGCACAGGCTGGTTCCCCGGGCTACTCGCTCAGCCATGCGGGGCCCTGGGGGGAGCCCACCCACACCACAGGCGCAGTTGAGCCCAGGGGGAGCTGCACTTCCAAAGCCCCCAAGCCCTGCACCGTCAGACTGCCACCTCCATCCCACCTCTTACCTAATGCTTGTGAATCTCCAGGCCCTCGAGGCCAGGCTTCTGAAAGTCGCCTGGGCTGGCCTGCAAGGGAAAGCGTCAGTCCTGACTCTGTCTCACCTGTGAGTGGCCTCGTCCTGCCGATTCGAGGCCAGAGCAAACCCACAATGAACTGACGGCCTGCAGGGCTGCTTCTCCAGGTCTTGGCATAAAGCCGCACCGTTCACATTTAAGTCAGTTCAAACCATTCCAGGATGAGCTGGGTCAAATTTAAAAGATCTGTTTCTTACACCTAGAAATATAGTTGGTGAAAACATTTTGTTTATGGTTTACTGTGTGATTCCACTTATGGGAGGTCCCTAGAGTAGTCAGATTCATGGGGACAGAAAGTAGACGGTGGGGCTGCCAGGAGCTTGGGCGCCAGGGTGGAGAACGGGAGTTCAGTGGGTCCAGAGTTTCCGTCTGGGAAGATGAAAGAGTTCTGGTGACATGACAATGTGGATCTACTGAACCATATGCTTAAAAATGGTTAAAATGGTAAATTTCATGCTGTGTATGTTTTACCACAATTAAAAAAAAAAGCCAATAGCAGCCTGGCTAATATGAAAAACATTAAACTGCAGTTGCCAACAGGCCTCCTTGACTTTAAGTATCTGGGGACCAGGGGTCCAGGAGTTAGACTTCAGTAGCTTACCGTCTGGAACACCGTCTGGGACAGGAAACTGGCTGTGACCTTGCTGATGTCACTCTCGCCTCCCAGCTTACACAGGACGTAGCCGTACAGGTTCGCGGCTTGGAGAGAGATCCCAGCTATCACAAGGGCCTGCACTCGGACAGAGGAAAGGTAATTCTTCTAAGAGCATATATCGAAATGTTCCTCCCAAACCAAGTAGGAGTGGCTCTGACCCACGCCTAGTAGTAACAGCCAACCCTTAGGGAACACACTGAAATACTCATATTCAAATATTTAATCACCAGGAACCCAAGACGTTGGTGCCATTATGGTCCCATCTTACAGGGAGGACATGGCAGCCCAGAGAAGCTACAGCTGCCCGAGGTCCTGGCTGGTGTGAGGCTAAGCCAGGATCCAAGCTCCAGAACCCACTCTTAGTTATGCTATTGCTCACACTATCTGGATATTTTGTTTTCTCATTGACTGAACCAGATCATGGCAGTGAAATTTGATAACTCCAAAACACAACTCCAGAACTCTGAGGCTAGCTTATTGCTACTGAGGAGGAGTTCCCTATTCAAGGCAGGATGTCATCCACCTTTCCTAAAAACTCCCAGCAACTATTCATATGAGCCAAAAGGTAGAAACAACCAAACGTCCATCAGTGGATGATGGATAAGCAAAATGTGGCACATCCAGACGATGGAAGGTTATTCAGCCATTAAAAAGAGAGAGAGCCCTGATAGGCTACAACATGGGTGAACCCCGAAAACATTGTTAAGTGAAAGCAATCACAAAAGATCACATATTGTATGATTTGTTTGTAGAAAATGTCTGGAATAGCCAAATCTATAAAACCAGAGAAATCGGTATGTGGCAGGGGCTGGGGGAACAGGGGCGAGGTGGTGGTGATGGCTATCGGGTGGGTTCAGGGTTTCCTGTTGGGGTGATGAAATACCCTAGCATTGTGGTCATGGTTGCACAACCCTGTGAAGAGACTAGAAGCCACTGAATGGTACCCACCAAATGGGTGCACTGCCTGGTGTGTGAATTCTGTCTCTAAGGCCGTCTTGATCAGTAATAACAAAAACCCACTCCTGCAACCGCTGGTTCTGTGCAGCCGTCAGAGCGAGCGCTGCCTTACCAGCCACTTGAGCTTCAAGGAAAATAAGGAGCTAAAGAAGAACACGATCCAGATCATCGGGCAGATAATGAGGCCGAGCCAGAAGACCCTTGCTTCCGCTTCCGTGGCAGCCGTGTTATTTGGAGAGACCTGTAGCGGGAAGGTGATTTGGTTTTAAAACTAGCGAAAACGAGGGTGGAGGTATAGCTCTGGTAGAGCTCGTGCTTAGCATGCCCAAGGTCCTGGGTTCAGTCCCCAGTACTTCCGTTAAAAAAAACAAAGAAAAGCAAGTGAGGCCTTCAATCCACAGTGCCTCTGTTACGGGGAAGAAAATGAAAGGAAAAATAGAAGGATGAACTGTATAAAAAGTTGAAAATGGTTGCAAAGGCACGTGCTGTCATTTTCATTCATGTTACACGTTTCTGCCACGTGCGGCTGTGGAGCGCCAGCAGCGGTAGGTTCTGCGTACAGCGGGGGTCAGGTCGCACACAGCTCAAAAGGAACCCACAGAAACTTTCCACGGCCATTTTGCCGGTTCTGGCTTGACATGTGTTGCAGAATACCTTTCTGGCTTCAAAAATCCAGTGGCTTTTCCCATCTTCATCTATCTGGTTCCACCAGCGAAGGCCCACCATGAGTCGTCCAGTTACATTCTGAGGAAAATGGACAGGACACCTCTAGGCCACGGATCCAGAAAGAGGCCTCATCTTTTCATCGATGAATAAAATAAGTCACCAGTTCATGCTGAACTTGTACTGGGAGCAGGAGAAGGGGGCTGGTTTCCCAAGACCAGTTTTCCAGGCTTCTAATTTTTAACTAAGCTTACCCTAAAGAAGGGACAGATTCCCCATATATATATATATATATATATATGTATGTATGTATTCATACTATATACAGATTTTAAATATATTATTTATATATATTATATGTAAATTTTACCAAAAAATTCAAAGCCATATGGGGTTGTCACCCTTGTATGATACATGTTTGCAACCATGACAGTGGACACCAAAAGCCATTTATTGACCTAAACAGTGTATTTTTCCTCTGATTTTAAGTGAAATGGGCTCAGCATTCTTAGATACGTATCAGCAGTTTAAACCAAAGTGCCTCTTGGCCCAAATCAGCCACCTTCATCCAGAGCGTGACCTTCCAGAAAGGCAGCCCGTGCGTTTCAGGAGCGAGGGTATCACGGGCGAGGGGGCCTTACCTTCACTGACCAGAAGTCGAAGGACAGGAGGAGAAGCACGGTGACAAAACAGCCCACAAAGCTTCTGCTGAACCAGTCACAGCACACGTAGGTGACAATGGCGCTCACCCGGAAAAACAGGTGGAAAAAAGTGGCCAACGGGTGCCTAGGAAAGAGCCCAGAAGCCCCTCACTCCAGGGCCCGAAAGGCTGTGGCTGAACCCACTCTTTGGTTTGGCTGCTTCGTGTTCCCCCCACCCTGTGCATTTAAGCCCAAACTCACTCAGGCTGCAGCTCCAAGGAAATGTCCCTACATTAGAAGGCTCAAAACAGTCATTACCACACTAGCATTCTTTTCCCTCCCCCTCGAAGAATCCAGTACTTTCCCCTAATTTGATTCCAAATATTACTTGTCCTCTTCAAAACTTTGGAGTGAAACACGATGGTGATCGCTGCCTTCCCACCTGGCAGGGACAGTGACCAGTTCCCCAAAGGGAAAGGTTGGGTTATTCCGCCAGTCACTGAACATCCACGTGCAGCCCACGGGTGCAGAAGCCTCACGTCACTGGGGGGCGCGTGCTCCTGGATGGAGGGAAGTGTGAACAATGGACCAGGTCAAATCCACACTGCCGGTGAGGAGCTGCACTTCAGTGATGGAACAAGGCAGCCATGGAAGCCCCGTGATGGGGGATGACGAAATGCCACCCGGTGCTGGGGAGGAAGGGGAGGGAGGGCAGGCGACTTAGCTCTGCAAACCTCACCCAGGACTGCCAGGTCCCAGGGTCTTCACAGGAAGCCAGAAATCCAGGTTTGCAAAGGGAAACCGGATTTTTAAATGATGGCGACTGTGTTAGTAGAACATTGCAGGCTGTGTTTCACACTGGCCTGCCAGCGTGCCACATCTGGGGGAGCCGAGGCTGCGGGCAGGCCTGCAGGGGACAAGCCCGCTTGATCCTCCAGAGAAGGACCGTGGTCAGAGTAAGGACACTGGAGGCTCCTGACTCCCAAGAGAATGTTAACTGAGATACAGGCGCAGGGTGTAGAGTGACATCTGCATTTACCCTTCATGTTCCAAAGGAAGGCGGGGCTGTGCCCAGACACCAGCGATTCTGCAGAACGTTCTCACCTGCGCCTCGCGGACGCTGAGTTCTCCTGGCAGCTGTACCTGGCATTTAAGAACTACGTGATCACACAGAACTCGCAAACCTGGAATGTTACAGGAGATAAGACTCTTGGGAGTCTCTTGACACCCTTTCCACCTTAAACCTTACGGAGGAGCTTTCAACTATCTTAACACAATCTTTCCCTCTTCACCCTGAAAATAAACGAGTCCTCTTCTAGTGGCTGAACATCCCTCAACAGCACAGACCACGTTTGAGATAATTTTGTATCCCCGGGAGCGCCTGGCATCCCGGTTCTCGGCAAACGTCCCCTGTATCGGGCCGTGTAGCCCAGCCCGCGCAGGCCCGCTGGGAACACCTGTCCTCGCTGTAGGACAGCATAGACTGAAGAGGTGTAGGACGGACCCAAGAGTACACTGACCCAGGGTGAAACCTGGAAGGTATGCGTTCGAATAAATCCCCTGCCCACCCACAGTTTTTCTTTTTCAGACTGTGGTTTCCTGACAGAAAATGCAGAAAAAATTCCAGTTGTTGGTAAGTTCTGTTTAGTTGGGTCCTGGGTACCTGACTGTTTCCTTGAGTGGAAGGTATTACAGTTTTTGCTGCTGCTGTTCAAACCAAGCCGAAAGCAAGCAGAAAAGGATGCTTGTTGTACTTTCAGATCCTGCTTTCATCCTGTTTTATGCAGGTTGCTCTCTGGGCAACCCTCCAAAGCCTGACTCAGTCTCCCTCTGGAGTTTGCCTGGCCCGTGCCCCCGGCGAACACGGATGTGGTCTCAGATCGGCTTTCTAGTTTTGGGGGTTTTGAAGGCTGTGGCTTGAGCCTGCCTACCCTTCGCTACCATGGGGTCCCCTGTGCCCCCAGCCTTCTCTCCTGCCACCTCCATAGCCACAGAGCACAGATGCACCAAAGTCCCCTCCATCCCTCAATGCCACTGGCTTCCAGCTCCCCCCCCACTGGCACCTACCTGGTCGCCCCCTTGAGAGGCAAATGGTACAGAGGTGCCTGACTGCCAGGGTCCAGATCCTGGCTCCAGCCTCTGAGTAGCTCCATGGCCATCCCTAAGCTATGTAACCGCTCATCACCTCAGTCTCCACTTCTGTAAAATGGGAACGCCAGCCACCACCTAGGGTACTCAGTGAAAAAAGACCAAGTGAAGGTGGCGTGTAGAAAGTGCCTGAAACACAGACCACACTCAGTAACTGAACAACTGTTATCTCAGCTTCACAGTCACTCGAAACTGTTCCACCTCCAAGGAGCCAAATGGTAAAATTCCCCCTCTGACCACAGCTTACTCTCTCTCACTCCCCAGGGGCTGACTTTTCATCTGTGCAGGGATCCCCCAAGACTCCTGATCTGCCCTATTCCCCCAGCCCCTCTGCTTTCACCGAGGAACCTTCCTTACCCTCAGCCTTCGTGGGGAGTGTTTGCCGGTCAGTATCCATCACGCTCCCCCAAGCCGGCCAGGCAGAAGCCTGTTACCTCAAGAGGAGGAGGGGAGAGTGACAGACGGTGAAAGGGGAGATGAGATTACCTCATTCAGTGTTAAGGTAGGGAGGGGCTTGCTGGGCTCTTGTTGAAGTGTGAATCTATTTTCACAGTTTCTGGGCCGAGGACACATGTTGTCTCCCCCTTGAAGGGAAACCCAGTAGGTTCTCAAGCTGACCTGTGCTTCACAGTTACCTGTGGAGGCCTTGAAATGAGCACAAGGTTGCCCCAGTCCCAGAGCACGCAGGTTCAGATCTAGAGTGGGGCCTGGACGTGAACTTCACCAAGGACAAGCACTGCTCTATCCTGGAATCACAAACTCTGGCCCAGGGGCCAAATCTGGTCCACTTCCTGTTTCTCTAAATAAAGTTTTATTGGAATTCACTCATGCACTGGCCAGCACAGCCGAAAATATTCACCCAGAACTTGTGCCAATCCCTGCTCCTGACCGGCAGGAAGAATTTGGTGATGAATTTAGGCTCTGTTCAAAACAAACCAAAATGAAGCAAACTGCCACTAATGGCCTCTCCCCTTCAAAAAAAATTTCCTTTCCAAAGCTGCAGGCTGGGAGCTGCCTGACTGCCAGAATGGGTTGTGCTGGAAGTCAGAGCAGTGTTCTCTCTGGGATGGTAGAGGGGGCAGCGACTGGGAAGGCACACAGGGGGCCTGCTGGCTGCTGGAGATGCTCTGTATCTTGATCCCTTGTGTGCACACATATTAAAAATTCATCAAACTGTGCATTTAGGATCCGTGCACCTAATTGTATGTGCACTACACCTCAATTTAAACATTCTGATTGAAGCCATTGACCAAAGAAAAATCTTGGCAAGTCATCCTAAAAATTCTACATGAGATACAACCCAGCCGTTGCACTCAGTACTTGCTCACATGAGCTGAAAACTTATGTCTGCACACACACACACAAAAACACAGAGATGTTTATAGCACCTATATTCATAATTGCCCCAAATTGGAAGCAACTAAGATGTCCTTAAATAGGTCAGTGGATAAACCACAACACACCCACACAGTGCAGTAGTATTCACCACTAGCAAGCAGTGAGCTACCAAGCCAGGAAAGGACATGGAGGAAACTTAAACGCATATTGCGCAGTGAGAGAAGCCAGTCTGAATATCAACTGTAGGAGTCAAACAATACGACATTCTGGAAAAGACTCAACTATGGAGACAGTAAAAAGATCAGTGGTTGAAAGGTTAGAGGAGAGGGAGGGTGGATAGCTGGAGTCCAGGGGATTTCTAGGGCAGTGACACTAGTCTGTATGACACTGTCACAGTGGACATATGACACCATACATTTGTCAAAGCCTGTAGAACGTATAAAACCAAGAATGAAACCTGATGGGAAAAAAAATAATGTGTTAGTTCATAACAAATGTATGATACTAATCCAAGGCGTTAATATAGGGGGAACTTTGGGGGGAGGGGATCATGGGAACTCTACTTTTGCCCAATTTTTCTGTAAACCTAAAACTGCTCTAAAAAATGGACACAGGTTGGGGGTGGTGCTCTGTCTAGACAGCAGAGTCAGATCAGGGTAGGGAGAACAGCGTCCCAAGGCACACACATCCCCTTCCCACGAACTTCTGGAGCACATTTGATTTGGGGGGGAAAAGGCTGATTTAATCCTAAATTCAGCAGTGATCTAACAGTATCTTTAAAAGTTGCCTTTTGTTTGTTTATATTACTTTGAAAACTGAGTTCCTCATCCAACATCCTATTTTAAATTCTCTAGTCATCCTACAGACCCTCTGGAAAGCTGCTTTTCACCTTGGTAGAGGAAAGACAGTATCTTTTCTCCTTGGTTTACTTTGCTACTAAAATAGCATCTGAGAGGATGTCTAGAATTTGCTTCAAAATAATCCGGGGGCGGGGAGTGGAGGTGGGGTGAAGACGAAATGGTCATGTGTTGAGCATGAGTGAACCCAGGCAGTGGGAATACCAGGGTCATTATTCTCTGTGCTTTTATGTAAATTTGAATGAAAAAGTTAGAAAAATAAAGAAATCAGCAGAGGCAGCCTCAACTTTGCATTGAGGCAACATGCCTTTCAGAATAAACCAAGCTCATCAATTAATATTCTGGGGGCCACGTGTGATAAAAAAAAATTCAGACTTAAAAATCCCCAATTGAGTAATTCGTCATTACAGCTGGGTGCATGAGGAAAATTCCAGAATGCAGGTCCTTTCTTCTAGGCTTACCAGTCCCTCTGCCCCCCAAAAACGTGGGAGCACCCCTGTCTATGGGTGGACTGTGGGTGCAGTGAAAGCCAGAGAGCCCTGATCCACATTCATGCTCCATCCTTGCTGGGTACGTGGCCCTGGACCACGTACTAAACCTCTCAGAGCCTCAGTTTGCTCATCTTTAAAATGGGAGAGTAATATTTACCTCAGATGCCCCAGGCTTCTGGGAGGAAAAAATACCAACGATGCCAGACCAGAGGGGGCCTCAGGTGGCTGTGGTTAATATCACTGTACTTATCATCTGACTCATTCATGGTCAGGATTTTTGAGAACGGAAGAAAGTGAGAAGCAGCCTTGGC